TGTGGGTTTTTGTGGGAATTTGGGGGTGATTGTTTGGTTAGTTTCAAGGGGGTGGGATGATGGAGATTTTGAAGAACGGGGGAACTTTTCTTTACGCTGTATGACCTGTTTATGCTGCAAGTGCCGTAAAACTCTTACTAGCACCAAACTTCTTTTGGGACTCCCCGCAGGTGATACATCTTCCGCCGGATGATCTTCCCTTCTTCCCGGGCGCCCTGGCGAGGAGACTTGGCTTGAGCGTGGTCGACCACAAAGCTCGGGCCTCCATGGACAAGGACTTCCCCGTGGAGTACTGAGAGACACGTCACCTCGCTAGACGACTATAGAGACATCCTGGGAACTGAGCCTGCAGAGCTGAAGTTGACACTTTCCTTTGGGGAAGTAGGGAATTCAGTAAATTAACTGTAATTTTGCCCGGGGGGGAGCGGAGGGGTTGGGGGGTATGGTGGATAGTTTACATAAATTCCATTGCAATTCAATAAACAATTAATTTAGCCCCCCGGGGGGGGGGGGGGTGTTTTGACATAAACTTCGTTGCCTATAACTGCTCAGGAATAAACTCTTTGCTTTGAGGAGAATGATATGCCAACAAACTTTTCTATACTTTGAGAAGGATGTTAAGCCAACAAACTTTTCTATATTTTGAGGAGGATGTTATGCCAACAAACTTTTCTATATTTTGAGGAGAATGCTCTGTCAACATACTCAACACTTTGAAAAGAATACTCTGCCGACAAACCAACAAACTATGTATGAACCTTGAGGAGAATACTCAGCTAATAATCTCCAAACTTAACAGGGAAAAAAACCCTGCCAATGAACTCTTTACTTTACACTGAAAGTGTTCTATTAACTATCTCTACTAACCAATTAGAAAATACACAAATGTGAATTTTAAACGTGGTAATGGGTTACTCAGCCAATAAACTGAAGACTTTGTAAGGAATTACTTAGCCTATGAACTACAGACTTTGTAAGAGATTACTCGACTAAGAAACTGTAGACTCGATAAGCGAATTTCCAGCACCCTGCTACTCTTTAGCATAATCAAATAGTTGTCCAAAATGAATTGATTAATGCTTTAGGAGTTCCGACTAGCCGGTCGAAAAGAACAGCTGCCCTGATATCGCTCTTGCTTTTCGTGGCGTCTGTACCCCGTTTTCGGGGGGCCTTTTGTGGTAAGAGTGATTGCCTTCCTGGGGCGAGATACCGAGAACTCTAGTAATTGGTGCTATACTTTACTTTTGTTCCCTTTTTCCATCCTTCTTTTATCTTCCGGTGTCGAGGGGAGAAGCAATAAATGTCTTTCTTTTGTTTGTTGCGCATCACCTATTATAAATTTTGATTAGTGATACTTTGATCCCCATGATCCATCTTTTCACGGGCCTTTCTCTTCCTCTGTATCCATCTGATCTTTGCTGTATGCTCTCGCTGCTATACTGGTGCTATAGAGGGAGCAAAAGACCAAATAGCCGGGATTTTAGGACATTTCAGAATTTTGATGGATAAGGCGTGGGTGGAGTGAGGGAAAGGGGGGGGGGAGTTATTCTTTTCTTCATATTATCAGTATTTTTTTTCCTTCTCAGTTGTTCTTCTATTGATATCTTTGCATAGAAAACGTTTAATTAACGGCCAGCAAGGTCGGGATTTGTCCCTGCAGTATTCCTTGTTTCTTTCTTTTGAATGTCGTGTCTCTGGTATATGTGTATGTGACAATACATGTACTGCAAAGTGTGGTTTCATGGCATATGAACGCCTTGTAGAAAGACGTTTGAGGTGCAGGAGACACGTACCTAATCTGCTACGCAGAAGTTTAAGGTTCCAATCTAGGTAGCGCTCGATATTTTTTTCCTCACTCTTCCAGTCATACATCCTCCAAGCTCTGTGCCTTGGAGATGTATGAAGTGCTGCCTCTTTTAATGAAATTACCTAGCCGACCCGTTTTTGTGAAATGCCAGTCTTCAAGCACAATATTATACGTATGTCTGCTTGCTGAAGGTTGGCTTTATACTTCTATTCAGGAGATTGTTTTTTGTTTTGGTGGGGGTGCTTTATTTATAATTGTTCAACACCAAAGCTTTGATAACCTGACCTAATATGTGTGATTTTTTAAAAATCTTTTATCATTTTGTTTATATTTCTCCTTTAATTAGGTTTTGATCGATGCCTTTATATTTCCTTTTCATTATGAACTAAATGTGTGCTTCAGAACAAGTTGACGTAAAAGATGTCAATAATTATATTCGATTTTTGTATGTGTGTATTTGTGTGTGTGTGTGTGTGTGTGTGTGTGTGTGTGTGTGTGTGTGTGTGTTTATGTGAGTGTACTCTCTTTCGCTTTAATGTGCGTCAGGGAGGGTTCAGTAGACGAAAATACACAGTGATGTTCTATCGGCAGCCATGT